AGAGAATGGCAGAGATGGGGTGATGAAGGGCAGGTATTTGTCCCCTGAAGATCCCTTTGGGGGGGTGTGGTGGAGGCTTGTGGGAGATCTGAGGCTCTGTTGCCCTGTCTTTCCAGCTCTCCATGAAAGGTCCCCCTGGCCCAGTAGGGCTCACTGGACGCAGAGGCCCCGTGGTGAGTAAAGAGGCTGCAGGAAGGAGGCAGCTATGTCACTGGAGAGGGGAACCCACCCTAATCGCATTACCCCATCTCTTCTTCCAAGGGTCTCCCTGGGTATCCAGGCCAGAAAGGAGAGATGGGAGAAACGGGGCCACAGGTGAGACTGGTGGGGCTGGGGACAGGATTCCTGGGAAGGGTCTTCCCACAGGATAAAGTACTAGTCGGGGAAATGACAAAGGGGCTGGGACACACTTGCAATTACTGCCCTTCCTAGGGAATGATTTAAAATAAGTCCTTCCTCCCCGTCATTCTTCTTCCCATGTCTCCTTTCCCTTCTCCTCTAGGGCCCCCGAGGCCTTCAGGGACCTGTTGGGCCCCGTGGCCGACAGGGCAAGATGGTAAGTGACCCCTAGGTCCTCAGATCATCTCTTCTCCAACGCTCAGCACCCAGCATGAGCCTCAGCTTTGTGCTTCCAGGGTCTGTTGGTGTCATTGGTGGGATAAGAGAACAGGACAAAGGATGGCAGCTCCACTGAGTGTGTGACAAAAGAGCCCAGAGGCAGGGAGGATTTGCCAGAGGAACTGAGGCTTGAGCTGAGGTCTGAGGCAGAAGCAGGCAGACAGGAGAGGAAGGACATTCCAGGAGAAGGAACAGCACGTGCAGAAAAGTCTGGCACGTGGGGGAGATGACGAACAGGACAGCTGCAGATTGTTTTAAGTGCCGTGGAAAACACACAGCAGGGCAGTTGATGGAGACTGAAGATGACGGTTCTTAATTTTTGTGATGCTGGTGACTTGGACTAGAGAAAGGGAATGGTTATAAAGAGTAAGGGATGGGTTTGAGGTACACTTGGAAGGTTAGAGTAATACACACAGAAGCTCCCAGCACAGGACTCTGCATGTGGAAGGTGCTCAATGAATGGTAGTAGGTATCTTGATGATGTGACCTCTCCCACAGGGCCGCTCTGGAGCAGATGGGGCTCGGGGCGTCCCAGGGGACACGGGACCTAAGGTAGGTAATGGGGACGGGACTGGAATTGAGGAAATGTCAGGGTCAAGGATTCGAGGTTCAGCTGGTGTCTCGTTGTGCAGGGCGATAGGGGCTTTGATGGCCTTCCAGGGCTGCCTGGTGAGCAGGGCCAAAGGGTGAGTGTGTGAGGTCCCTCCCTCATGCCCCAGCCCCCTCCCAACATTCACGAGCCCCTCCACACCCCCAGTACCAGAGCCTCCATTCCTGTGTGAGTCCTCACCCTTCACGTCCCATCTTCTTTCCTGGGGGGCTGGTTTCCATCCCCACCTTTCCACACCAAACTCCCTTCTGTTCCCCACCCCAGGGTGACTTTGGCCCTATGGGGCAACCTGGTCCCCCAGGAGAAGATGGTAAGAAGGTAAGTTTGGAAGGGAGTTAGGAGATGGTTTAGGTGGAAAGCCAGAATGAGAGTCAGAGAGTAGAGTATTCAGGGGGCAAGATGGGGAGTGGTTCTCCAAGGGTCCTTCCTCCCCCCTCCCCAAATGATGCTTTCCCACAGGGAGCAGAGGGACCTCTGGGGCCCACTGGCCAGGCTGGAGAGCCGGTGAGTGTCAGGGACCCCTGGACCCTTTGCCTGGTGCAGGGGATGGAAGGCAGGACTCATGGGGCCTCAGAGCAGGCAAGAGGGGAAAATGTTCCCACTTCCTTGCAGGGCCCCCGAGGACTGATTGGCCCCCGAGGCTCCCCTGGCCCCCTGGGCAGCCCGGTGAGAATGCCTCCCTGCCCGCCGTCTCGCCTTCCTCTGCATGGCCCCTCCTGCTGCCTGGTCTCTCCTGTGCGCTCACCTTTCCACCCGCACCTCGTGTCTCAGACGCGGGCTCCTGCGTGTGCGTCTGCCCCATCTCACAGCTTCTCCTCCCCCAGGGCGCAGTTGGAATTGATGGTGCTCCGGGTGCCAAAGGAAATGTGGTATGTGCCCTACCCTCTGACCCCGCTGCTTTCTGACACTCCGACCCCATGACCGTTCATATCCTTGTCTACTCCATGACCCCCCAATGTCAACTTCACTGACACCTCAACGCCATGATCCCTTCCAGCTTCACAAAACCCCACTTTCTCCCCAGGGTCCTCCAGGAGAACCAGGCCCTCCAGGACAACAGGGGAATCCTGGGTCCCAGGTTTGAGCTCTTTCCCAATACTGCGGGTGGTGAAGGTCAGCCAAGGTCATAGACCACCCCCAGCCTCCCCAACTGCAACACTCACCACCCCTTTCTCATGCTTTCCTTTGCCCTCTTTTTTTATGTCCCCAGGGACTTCCCGGCCCCCAGGGACCTATTGGCACTCCTGGGGAGAAGGTGAGTGACAGCTCTGTCTCCCTCCTCCCCCAACCACGTCTTGTTTCAACACTGTCTGCTTCCCCGCCCAGCCCCTTTCGTTAGCTATGGCACTAAGCCGGATCACACAAGGGGATATTGTCAGGATGCAGGGGACCCCTCAGAAGCCAGTCATAGAAAATATTACCACCGCTCATGGGTCAGGAAAGCCCTTTCTCTGGGGTCCTGTGGTGTCAGCTTTGTTCCTCTGCACACGTTTCCGTCTCCCTTGGCAGACAGGCTTCTTTCCGCACAGACTTTAGTGTGTCCCCAACCATCATTTCTACCTGATTTTGAGTTGCTACCCCAACAGCTGATCCTAGTTTCTGTCAGGTAAGTTTCAGGAGAGAATCTGATTGGCTCCGCTGGGCCAAGTTGCCTGCCTCTGTTTGCAGGACATAGGGGGTCACCTCATGCTTGCCAAGGTCCATTTCTCTTCAGATGAAGCTGTGGGTGGGAGGTACTTCGAAAGAAAGGGGTGTGGCTAGGGAGCCCCCACTTCAACATGTTTTTCCATCCTTTGTCTCAACTCTCTCAGAGGCAGAGGATTTCTATTTATTTATTTATTTATTTATTTATTTATTTATTTATTTATTTTTTATTTTAGTTCTCACTGGAGGATATTTCTTCCATTGCTTTTCAGAGAGAGTGGAAGGGGGAGAGAGAGAGAGAGAGAGACAGA